CCGCTGCCCAGCGGAGCTACAACCGAATCCATCAGTCATTTGCAAGTTGGGCTCTTTCCTTTTTCTTTCCTGATTTCATTTCAATAGAGCATCACCCTGTTACGATGAGGAGCAAGTCCAAGAGGCTCCTGCAGGACTGGTGAAAAAAGAGGGAGTTGACTCCCTTTGCGGGCTGCTCCTGCCCTGCTCCGAGGGCCCCGCGCTCCGGCAGATTCCTGCCCCTCGCCAAGGTTTAGCCTGGCCGGTGGCACCGCAGCGCCCGCCCGGGCAGCCCTCCCTGCTCTCCCTGCCTCTGTTCCCAGCCTGTTTTACCAGCTCGGCCTCCAGGAGCTGCAGGATCAAGCGGAGAGGCTGACCCAGCACAGGGCTTCAGCCCGAATCACATCTGTCCTCACCAGGTCTGCAGTAATCCGGGCTGTGCTCTCTGCTCTTCCCAGGGCAAGCCAAGCCGTAGGCGCCGTATCCGCTGGGAGAGGACGAGCTCCAGGCTGATCCGGCAGGGAACGGCCCTTCTCCTGCGCTGGCTACATCCCTGTTTGCCGGTAGCTTGTCCAGTTTGGTCTATCACCTTCGCAAAAGCAGAACCCCCGAGTGCTAAATAAACACGGGGACATTTGGCTTGGCTGAAACAACGGTTTATTTTACTAGCTGCCTGGGCAATACTATACAGTAACTCGTGAAACAACTGAAAGGGGAAAAGAACATCTCCATCCAAACCTAAATTAAAAGAAAATCACATTCATTCTCCCCACACAGGCTAACTAACATGGGAAGGGCTGGTCTTAGGGGATCACTATTAAACTCCAGGTCTCGAATCCCTCTGAAACAGCACAAATTATGCGTGAGAACTTCACACGTCTTCCAGTAATTTGCCTGTCACTTTCTGAAGTGACAGCTCTTATTTGGGTTTAAATACTGCTGTTTGCGTTAGCAGAGTGTCATAGCTGATATTAGCACCCTGGAGACGACCTGCCTCTCTGAGAGCCCCCTTCCCGCGTGGGGAGAGCCCAGGGCTCCGTTGGGAGCGCGCGGGATCCGCAGCGTGTTCCCGCGGGCAGCGTGTTCCTGCGGGCAGGGTGCCCGCGCATCCCTCCTTCACCACCCCAAAGAGCATCCAGGGCAGCAGCCTCAGCGCCCGTGGAGGAGTCCAAAAGAAACCCAACACCTAAAGGAGCGGGAGAGCAGCCAGGGACACAGGGAAAGCGCCCTGCGGCTGCGGGGGACTACACGGAGCAACCGCTCCAAGGGGATGGGTTAAAGAGATGGGTCGTGGCTTGAGCTACCTGGAAGGCGCCGTGTCCCTGCTCAGGAGGGTGCTGTGCCCCCCACCAGCCTTGGCTGAGACACGCAAGGTCCAACAACCAAAGAAAGGCTCCCTTGGAGAGGGGAGCGAGCTGCTTTTGGAGCAACCCAAGTGTCCTGGGCACGAGAAGCACCGGGGA